CTTGGATTGCTACTCAGAGGTGCCCACAGGAAGCTGCCCGTTCCTGTTCTCACAGAGGTTTGCTAAGCTCACACAAGTCAGATGTGTGATGAAGATGAAAGTCACATCAGGAGCAAAACTACAGATCTTTCACAGATATGGGCACCTGTAATGTCTTCTCTAAATACAGAAGTTTTGCTGCTGCTACCTTAACTTTATAGCATAACATAGTTCAAGTCCTTTCCCAGAGAAAACTTTACTGAGTTCATTTACCACTTCAGCATGGTCAGCACCTAATCCTGCATATCCTGCTTTACCAGGATCCTGCCCCAGCTTCACAGCTTTGACATAACATTGTTTTCTAAGCCCTCACAATTTCTTTCAGGTTTACTGTTTCTTTATCTACTATCTCTGGTTCATTGCATTTTTCTTTTTGGAATTTTGCATTGTACTTGTTGTTTACTTGTTTTCAGTTCTGTATCATATGATTCCAGTTTTATTTCTTTGCTAGTGTCATGTTTAAAATCAATATATATGATCTTTTTTTGGTACTTCATTTATAGCCATATAGCTGAACAGATGACCTGAGCCTAACTACAGTTGTAGTGTGTCTGATTTTATTTTTTCCCTGCTTTCTTGTGACGTTTGCTTCTTTTGCGTATGTGTTCCTGAGAAAGAAAAAAAGGTTCTTGCAAGAAGAAATCATCAGAAAATTACTCAATGAACCTTTCTTCGTGTCATTTGATGATCCTCAGCCCAGATACCCTTCTTGCTCTTCCAGTTTCTTCATCAAGACACCCTGTTCTAGTGCAGCTGTTGCAAGAATCCATTCAGGCAAGGTTGTTCTGCCAACCACTCTTGAAGGGTTATTTGGAGAAGTTTTCAGCTCTGTGAGGGTTGGTCTTTTTGTTTGTGCAGTTAAGAACAGACATGGGGCTGTCTCACATTAAAATTTCATCAGCCATCAAAGAAATATGAAGCCATAAGGTGAGTTGCAAATAAAGCATGGGTTTGCTGTGAAATACTTATTTGAGAAACTTCTCTACACATCCTTGGCTTACAGTGTATTTTAAAATATTTCAAGCAAAAGCAGTGTTGGCCTGTGTTTCCTGTGCACTCATGGCCTTTAGATGTAAATGTGGCATCAAAACTGAGGAAGTTAATTCCTCAAAAAGTTGAGGAAGGTTATTCCCACTGTCTGGCACTGACCTTCAAATCATGAAGCAACACTCAAGTACACAGGAGACAGGAGAATGCTATTGTTTTGATAACATCTTAGCCAAGCAAGAGTTGCTTAAATGGGGACAGAATCTGTCATAAGTCATGCTCTCCTCACTGCTCATGTAGAATTTTATTTGATACCTAGTGCAGAATGAAAAAAAACCAGAAAATGTGTTTTATAAAGTAGCTTCCAAGAAATGTTTGCAGATCCTAACATGGATAATAGGGAAGTTCTCAGAACTATCAGGAAGAGAGTTGCAGCTTTGAAAAATAGTTAGCACTACTACTTTCCCAAGGAGTGGCTGCCTTATGCTGTATTACCTTTCACTGGCATCAGTTCTTCAGGAATTTATTCAAGCATGGCAGTGGCTGTAGACTGTTTTGCAGAGGAACAGATCTTTTCAGAAGGTGCTAGAAAGGGAGCTTTGTAGAAGATCCTTGAAGACTTTTCAAAACTTCGTGTTATTTAAGTAATGTAGTTACTTTATGCCGTGTTTTCAGGAGTGAAACTGGAATATAAATTTTAATTACATTCTAAAACTTCTTCCCTCTCTACACCCCAGTCATTTCTTCTTCTGACCACACTGTTTTAGTATCCTTCAGTTTCCTCTGTGACTTGAGAGGTTTGCACTGTAAACACGATGACTGAAATTATTTTTGTTGTTTAATTTTAACTTGTTGCAGCACTTGAGAGGGTAGTGATGTGTGTAAAGAGTTGATGAAGCAGGCACAGAGAGAATTCTTTTGGTGGCTTCTCTGCAGAGGGAAGTGTATCAGTGTAGAATACACTGTAGTATAAATAAAGTGTAGAATGAAGTAATTTCTTTCTGCACAGACACTTGTTTGCTGTCTGCATGTTCCACTTTGCCTGAAAAAATGAACCAGCTGCTGGAGGTCATTGGTGCACTGAGATCACAAGAAGTAAAGAAGTTATTCTGGCTTAGTTTGGCGTGTATGCGTGATCTTGATTTATGTTATCTCCTCTGATCAACTGGAGCTTAATGATGAAAACTGCTCCAGGAAAGTTTTTGACAGTAGATTTTCTCTGGAAAATGAAGCTGGCTAATGATTACCTGTCTCTGAGGTGGTGTATGTCCTTATCAGTTGACTTAAGCACAGCAAAGGGGTCATCAGCCATGGTACCGTTCTGATTGACTTACTGATTCCATTATCACTAGCTACTACTTTTGGCAAAGGGAAAGAGGATGGCAGATTAGGATCCAAGGTCACTGAAGTTGCAAAAAATGGGAATAAGAATGATCATATTGCCATGGGATCTCATGGTCATCAATGTGTTTACACTAGAAACAGAAGCCATCTCTTATCTATATCTCAGAGGGAAGGACACCAATGTTCTGCTGCTCAAAGTGCTCCAGGTGTTTATCTTACGTGGAATAGATTAAACAGATCAATTATCATAACAGGTTCCTAAAATATTCTGTTGATGAAAATAAACATAAGATTGCTGGTTGGTAAGAGATACTGTTAAGACACTAATGAATTCATTAGTCCATGGAGCAAACCTTTGGGGACTTAAGTATTTTTTGGCAAGGAACATGAAATATAAATTTCCTTTTACCAGTTACATACTTTTTTTTTTTATATATGTATATGCCTAATTTTTTAACCGTTTTGAGAGAAGGATCTTTATGCTCAGTGTTATTATTATGTTCTTTTCAGTGGCTAAGATAGGTTGCTTAGAGGAAAATCTATCATACTGAATTAAAGAGCCAGAGGAAGGTGGGGCTGCTGCTGCTGCTCCATATCCCCAGATCCAACCCAGTACGGAGGCTGAAGCTGTGTTTCCCATAAGCACACATACACAACGTGCTTACATTTGTACCCAGCAAGTCGCGTGTATCAGAGGCAGCACCGACAGCTTCATCCCCTCTGCTCTCTAAGCAGGAGGGAGCTCTGGTACTGAGGGTGTATGTACATATGTGGAGATCATCGCCCACCTGCAAGGTGGATCCCTCCAGCACACAGGCTCACACAGTCTGCCTGGTAGCTCCTTCATCCCAGTCTCCCCAGCTGAGCTGGAAATATGAGCCCTCAAGGCCATAGCCCCACTGTTGGTACAGACCGGACCATCCCTTGTGCATGTGTGTGACTGGACAGGGCTTCCTAAGACCCCTTTTGCTGCCCCTGAGTGCTCTTACTCTTAGAGATGGGCAGATGCTTTTCACACCCAGAGCTGGCAGAGACTTCCAGAGTCCCATACGTGACCCTTGCATACTACTGTGGACTGGTGGCAATGAGCTTTTGATAGGCTGATGGCTCATGTGGTGGCCCAGGCAGTAGCTCACCAGGGTATTATCCAGGTTTTCCATCCTGCTGTGGTGCTGAGTGATACTATAGGTGTGTGGAAAAGCTTTTATCACATAACCAAACAGTTCATCTAATCATCTCACCTTTCTAATAAATAAAGTGGAAATTTTGCTTGTCTAAAAGCTATATAGAAATTTAAGGTCTTGATTTATATTTTTCCCAGAAGTTGACTCCTGGAGTGCATTTCTTAAATTAGGACCTGCACAAGGAAATTATTTTTTTTTTTGTTTCACAAGTTTCTTCTAAATTTATGAAGTTTTACATAAAGGCTTCAGGTTTAAAAAATCTAGTTGTTAGTGGAGTTAATGGGAGTAGTGGAGGAGGAATGAGAATGACGATAACAGTCCAATAAAACCAGGAGAACAAATTCGTTATGACTCCACCCAGTCATTTTACACCTTTGTACTTATATTAAAAGCAACTTTGTACATGTCACTCAGGGTAAAAGTGGAAGGGCGTAGGTCACTGGGGAATGAGACCAGAGAGGAAGGAAAAAAATGAGCCATTATGTGGTTCCTGAAATCACCTGGTTTTGTCTCGCCTCTTCAGACAGTAGGAACAGACCTTACGGTAGCTGTGCTTTTCAACGTGCATTTGGGAGAACATATTTTACATAGGGTGGCAGTACTTCCACCAGCTCGTTGGCTGATGGCAGTCACCTGTAATTGTAAGCTTGAAGACACAAAATATTTTGTAGTCTTTTTAGTTCCTGATCAAACTTGAAATTCTCAAGCAGAGGAACACTGTAACACAGTACTAGTACTGTCCACCTATGCTTTTTTGCTACTTATAGCAATTTGTGCTCAGCTTCCAAAAGAAAGGGATTTTACTCTTTTAAAACAGGCAAAACAATGGATTTGCTGTTGATTCCCCCATTTCCTTAGGTAGTTTAGACACATTCAGGTTATATACACATGTAAGGAGGAAAAGTGCCTATTAAAGCTGCAAGAGTCACAAGCTGCACCATTCTTAATGTCTCCAAGCTTCTTGCTTTTTTTCTCCACATAGTTGTATTTGGAATCTAAGGAACAGCAGTCAAATCTCTATCCCTATAAATTTTATGGTTTATGTGATTTGGATCAAAAATTATTGTCCTCTACGAGAATTAGTGCAGATGGCTTGACAGACCTCCTTTGTCAGCTAAGATTGGGAAGAGAAAGTGCTAATTTATTAATGATAGTGTTATAAATTCACTTTTTTTTTTTTCTTTAACACCTACAATTTGATAATAGCAGTAAAGACGTAAGACCGGCCTTTATCAGTCAGATAAAGATTTGCCAAGTCTTAAGTCTTTTGCATACAGGTTTTAACTACTTCAACTCAACTCTTATCTGGCTGATAAGATTAATGACAGTGTTTCTTACAGCTTTTTAACTTTATTCTTGCCATGAAGTTCAAAGGTTGTTGGAGAGCAGTATTCCACTATCCACCATTACCTTTCTCTTCCTCTGGAGTTTTCATAAATCATAGCAGTAAGCTTTCTTTTCATGAAAATGGCTGTACCTTGCCTTTGTTCTTCTTCGTGCATTCTGGGAGTGAAGGGCAAGACTCAGTTTCAGAGCCTTGGATGGCTGGTTGGCAGTTTGTCAGATGGCAAACTCTTGGAGAGACAGTTGAACCAGCCGTGGAATGTTACTATTTTGCTACTCTGTGGACAATGTGTGTCATCTCTTGTAAAGACAAGAATCTCGATCCTGGTCTCTGTGTACATTTGCAAAAGAGAGGGATGATACTAAAGACTTTAATTGTTACTGCATTATCTACATCTTAGTATTTTAGGTTGCCATCGGGGAACATGCTTATGCAGGGCTGTTAAGATGAAGTTGGTGACATGGAAAAAATGGAATGTGATATATTCAGCAGTAGTTTTAGGTAGATTTAGGATCTCTTTTAATAACATGGGATTTGTTTTCCATGTTCTTGTATCCACTGTCAAGGGAAGACAAGATCCTATTGTATCCGCCCTCAAGTTACTTTTGTTTTAGCTGGTTCTTATGATTCAGTTCACTGTAACTTCCTTATTCTAACAGAATCAGAAAGTTTCAATCTACAGTTTGAAAACCTTCAGACTGAATGATGGTAAACTTGGGTTGTGACCTCTGGTAGTATTCCAAACTAACACTTGCCATGATCTGGTAACTGATTTAGAGTTGGGCCTTGTTCAGTTAGGCAAATACTCCATTTGTATCATTTATTTTACCATGAAAAACAGAGGCAGGATGGAACTTGTGCTGTTCTCTATATGCTCATAGTACCTGGAAGAGCTGGAGCATGTGTACAGAACTGGAGATCTCCAGACCTGTCCAGGTCTAGATTTACATTGCAAGCTCATGTGACTCTTCCATATATTAACCAATTTACTTGAAGCTGAACAAACTAAAAGGTAGAAATTCAGGACCTGAATTTTTTGAGGTTAGTGGGCACTGTCTTGTGTTCTGTCCTGTGTGGCAGAAAAAAGGCAGGGTGCATGGTTTTAAAACCTTGGATGAAATAGATTTGATATTGCATTCTCATTTTATTGGAGAAGTTTGGCCAAAACCAAGTCATTGAACTGATTTGGTTTGTGTCTTTTGCGTGCAGCTGCAGTTTCTGTTCTAATTTGAGTGGATTTTCTGTTTAGGACTGATTAAAATTGCTTCTTAATTTGTAGATAAGGCAAATGTTGCCAGAACACATCAATTAATTACTGGAAAAGATAGATTCTATGTGAATAATGACATAAGGGACCATTATGGATCCCAGAATGGTTGAGGCTTGAATGGACTTCTGAGGATCATAGATTACAACCTCCCTGTTGTAGAGACTACCAAGACCTGAGTGGAAAATTCCAGTACTTTCGTCAGAGTGAAGGCATAGATAGCAATATTGGTATTTTCCTGATGGTCTGACTGTATTTGCTGAATCAGAATGTTGGTCCAATCATGGTAAGCTTTGTCTGAGTGTTTAAGTAGCAATTTGTTTAATTTCTGCGTGGTAACCCTTTCCCAGAAAAGTATTGATGTACAGCTAAAAACGGGAACACCCCTGGGTTAGCACCCTTGGTTGAAGGCAAACACATGCTTAAGTGACTTGCTGGACTTGAGCCCAAGGCCTTGTTCACAATGATGGGTCTGTTTCCCACTGCACTCACGTTCTGTCATCAAATGTGGCACTAGCCAGCATCTCTGCCTAACAGCATAGCAGTCCTGTCACTTTGCTCAGAATTGGGAGCTGTGTTTCTTGCCTGGTATTTCTGAAAGCAGCAAACATAGGGCAATGGAATTAGCAGGATGTCTTTTAAACATGTTAAGATGTTTGTGGCACTGAATCAGACAGACAAATAAAACTTTACAAACATTCTGGCTGGTTTTAAAACTGGGCACATCTCCCGATTCCTGTTTTAGTCAGTGCAGATTGAGAATAGCAGTAAGTGGCATATCCACTGAAATAATAACTGTTTTAAAGTAGTGAATTGTTTATCCTTGAGATGTTGTTTGGAAAAAGAAGCTTCTGAAACAGAGAGGAAAGCAGGTGGATGGATGCAGGAAGCAACTGACAGTCTGGAAAAAAGAAGTGGGTTTGTCAGTGTCAAAATCAGAGTTCTATCTTTTGAAAATGGACATGCCAGTTTGTGAGTAAGCAGGGAGTAACTCAGCACTAAAGGAATCTCCCTCCTACAGTGCCATATTCTTTAAAAGCTGAGGGAAAATCCTGATAAGCATGAATACAACCTTCTAAGTTCGTTTCAGCTCTTATCTACAAAGTAATTAATGCAAAAGCTTTCATTACACAAGAGAAGCAGAAATTAATAGCTTGCATATACTAAAGACTGAGTGTGATTTATTTTCTTACTGCTGTTAGAGACTATTTAATTAGACTGCAATCACAGTTCTTGTCTCTAGCTTGTCAAAATACATTATTTGAAAGGAAATGCCAAATCTGAGGTTTAAAAGGAAACCAAACTTATTTTGTCTGCAACCAGGTTTTTCGGTGGAAACTGTGGAACTGTTCCTCCTTCACTGCTGCTCTGTGAGATCAACTATGGAACATACTCAAGAACAAGAAGCATGTCTTGAGCAAACCCAGAGATACTGTGTGCAGAGACCAATATATAACCAGGAGCTCCTGCAAGGACAGCTGCACAGGCGACAGAGAACCCCTCAGACTTTAGGGCAGAAGATTGCACATTCTTGTCGGTAGGGTTTTTTTTGTCTTTGTTTTACTGGTTAGAAATATTATAATTCTTAATTGATTCATGCATTTAGCTGGTAATCTCTTCAAAGAAACCTAAGAGATAAAACCACTAATTCTACTCTGACTATTCAGCAAGACTGGGAAGAAACTGTGTATGTGCTTTTAATGTTAACTTATAACTATAGTAGAAAATATTGGATAAATTAGTTGAATTGCCTTCATCAAAGTGCAAAAGGAAAATGTGCAGCATAGGAATGTGAAGTATTAGTCAAATCACGTGACATGAATTCATAAGACCCAGAAAAATATCTGTCCTTTTTATGTGGAAATACTTATGGCCAAATTTGTGCTTCATGTGATCCTTTCACAGAAGAAGGGAGATGTGTGATAGCTGTGTAATCTAAATTATTAGTCTAATAAGAACTTACTAAAGGCATTGTCTAGCTTTTAATTAACTGCCTTGGAATCAGCTAGATAGACATGAAATTTTTTTAACTGTGCTTCTCTTGGTCTGTGGTACCAGGGAATTTAAGTTCTAGTTAAGTTCTCATTAGCTTTATGTTTATCCATGCTTCATTTGCAGAGCTTTTCCCATTTCTTTCTCAAACCTTGCTCTGCAGGACAACAGAATTGCTTTTCTATAACATATTCCTGTTCCCATGATTGACATTTGGAGATTTGCTTTGTTTTATGGAATGACTTCAATGGTAAAGACACTTAATTCTACCTCAGAAAACTTAATCTGTCCTGAATTTAAGAAAAGTGGATCAAAATCCTCCTTCTTGTGATACAGTCTACTTAACCATGGAGAAGTGTGGATGACTCTCTCACTTGTAGCAACAAGCTTATTCACTGTGCAATTCAGAAAAACTAACAAATCTCTGCAATTCTCTTGTAATTCCCCTACACAGAAAAGCATTTGTATAATCCCTGTGTTACATTTTTAACTAAGGTTAAACTTACCACAGTACAATCAAGGTATGATGTAAGGCAGTACTGGATAGAGATCTGTGTTTCCTGGCTCTATTCATTTGTTATGAGTCAGGGTTTCAAAAGGTTCATAGCTCTGCTAAGAGCCACAAGAGTTAGTGCTGCTGGCTTCAGTGCCTTCAGGTGAAGAAGGGTTATGCTCTCAAATAGCCTGAAAGTGGATCTATCAGTACTAGCAGTGATAGTAATAAGTACTGGTTAAATTAATAGATTTGGTGTTTTTAAAGCACAGTAATATATAATGTTATAATCAAAAAAGTATAAAGCATGGAATTAGTAAATGGGAAAAAGCACTGCAAAGTACTCTGATGAATGAAAACCACTATCAGAAAGCAAGTTATGCTCAGGGGATTGTTACTAGGAATGATCTCAGCTGAAGGTGTTGTGCACAGTAACAGTTTTACTTCCCACTGACCTCCAGGCTCACAAGACTTTTGTTCTCTTCTCCAGTCCCCTAAGGTTTGTGAACAGCACTATCATGTGATTAAGGGCTAAATTAACTGGAGGCATAGTTGTTTGTGCTTAAGCATGTCCAGAAAGTATTGTCATCAGGAGTCTGAGCCTACCTGTAAAGGAGCTGTTTTCTTGTATAATGATGAAAGAATTTTTGCAACCTGTTTGTCCCCTGCTAGTGTCTAACTTTCTTTGTATTTCCAGTTGTTCTTCTAAGAAAGCCAAGTCTCATCTTTACAGTTTCTTACCAATTTTAAAATGGCTTCCTCGTTACCCAGTGAAGGAATACTTATTGGGAGACATTATCTCAGGTATAAGCACTGGAATCATGCAGCTTCCTCAAGGTCAGTGTACCTCTATATTTAATTATTTCTTCCTTGTTTTTTCTCTGTGTGCTTTTATGGCAATGTTTGGCATCCTGAAATAGGTGCTCCTGAGAACAGGATGTGTATTTCGTGGCTCTGTGTGGAGATCAGCATGGATGCTGCAGACCAACCCAGAATAGTGATTCCCTTAAAACTGCAAGTCAGTGATATGCACCAAACTCAGAAAAAAAGCTCCCTTTCTAATCAGTATTCACAGCTCTCAATGGCAGACCAGCTTTTCAGTTTAAGTGCATGTCTAAACTTTTGCTGAATGTGCCATATTGTTTACTGATCTCATCGTCCTGAAAGTCATGGCAAATTTCCTACAGAGGGTAGCAGTATCTAACAGACATATAGACATTATGTTTCAGAGAGCAACTGGGATAAAGTAACCAAACTAAATTGAACCAAAGAACATGCAAGGATTCAAAGACCGATCCCTAAGGCTAGAAGTCACCAGCTTATGCTGGAACCATAGTAGCAGGCAGTGATTTATGTGGTGGAAATAAATCAAAAGTACCATCTGTAACAAGACTGAAAATCTGTGGAAATTTCTATTAAATTACTTGGAAGTGTCACCCTAAGTGGAGCCCAGTCCTGAAGCAGGAGCAGGCTCTGGAAGACAGAGAAAGCCAGTATTCACTGTTCTGTTCAGCTCCTGATGAATGGATCAGCACAATCTTTTGTTTAGTCTGGCACTTACTATTAGCAGTTTCAGAAGTGTTCAGGAGGTTAGAAAGCAGCAGCACTTGCCCAGAAATATCAATACAGGGTGCCCACTACCATACACAACAACTTCACTACCTGCCATAGTCTCAGTAGATTTTTCTGGGAGGTCTCGGAGTCAAGGAAATTCTTTGATTTGTGCAGAGCCTTGTCCAGAGGGTGTTGTAATTAAGTATATATAGATTTACTTCTGTGTTTACTTAGTTCATATTTGCACCTCACTTGTTCCACTTTAGGCTGAAGCAGGTCTGAAAAATTCATCTGTAAATCCAAGATTCTAGTAGGTGGTAACCCATTAAAATAATTAAATACCCTAACTTAGTCTGTGCAGGTAATTTCTTAATTTTTGTGTCTTCCTGGTCTTGTGTAAGTTTTATGATTAAGGTAATTTTTTCTTCCACACGTGGAAGCATCAACTTATCTTCAACTGATAGCTAATGTGGTTAACTCTCAGGCATATCTGTCATATACTAGACACAAACATTGCCAGTTGTATACTGAAATATAATTTATGTCGTGACCTGAACACTAAAATTTAAGTGGTCAGCAGTGAACTTTATACTTAATGTTTTGGCTCCCTTTTAAAGTAAACACTATTCATTTGGTGACTGTAAACATGCCCTTAAACTGCTCCTAATCCTTCCCTTTCTAAAAACACAAAAGTTGAACTTTTATTTTTCTGGAATGGATGTAATTATAGCAAGTGTGAGTTCAAAGAAGTTTGGGAATCATTCTAGGCAGAACTACAATGACCACGGTGTTTAAGTCATGGCCTCTTATCAAGTCAATATCTCTTTATTTCCTTGGCACTGACAGTGTCTAAAAATGCCAGTACAAATGGAAAGGAATAAAAGGGTATTCAGATCAGGAGCTTCACATAGACCCACCCTCCCAGTTTTGAACACTGATTTTCAGTTTTGGTTACTTGTACTGTGAAGTTCATCATCATATTAAAGGCCAGGCTGTTACAATACAGGGTATTTGCTGATGTCAGGAGATGTACCCCTTGGGTGAGAGAATATATGTGGGATGAGTTTCACAAGTACTTGATGAAATGCTTATTTGAGCAAGAGAATAAACGATACCATCAGTCCAGTTTTGGTGAGAATATGAATTTTTGGCTAGGACTCAGGTACTGCTTAGGGTTAGAACAAGGCCCTGTGACTTACTACAGTGCACAAGAGCACTTGGATAGCACAGAAGATCCCTTTGGTTTATCCCATTTTTTTGTAATGTGATGTTTTGTCTCCCAGTTTAAATTATTAGGGAGCGGTGTTTTGAGTATCACTGGTGGGTGAACCATTGCTTCTGTTTGGAATTTGCACTGGCCCATTGAGATTTTTACCCCTCACTTGGACCAGTCTGCCCAAGCATGGCAAGAACACACAGGTGTTACCAGCCTGCACTTGTGAGAGTGCAGAACCAAGCCAAGCCAGGGTACAGTGTTTTCTCCCTGAGGCCCATTTGTTCTGTTCTGGTGTCAATTCTCATTAGCACAAGCCGTGTAGAGCTATTGTTTTGGCTGGAACTGCTTGGGACAGTTATGTGCCATATCACATGGTGTACACCACTTTCTTGTGAGCCTGGTCCCATGATAAGCACACTCTGAGTCACACAGAGGGTGGGAGAAGTTGTTCCCTGGTGTCCCTTAGAGCTGTTCTCCCCACAGCTCCAGAGTTGTGTTAGGAATGATGTGGATTGCATTACACTGCATGGAACTGGACAGGGCTTAATGACAAAAAGTACCTTGTTTTTGGGAAGAATACTAGACTGTATAAGCTCTGTGACATTACAGATTGTCAGAAATTTTTCTCTGCTTATTTTACATTTTGAAGCATGTTTTGTGGAAACTTAAACTATTACATCATCCCAGTCATTCTGGGGTGAGGAAGGAGAAAAGTGTTTAGCCAGTTATAGATTGCCATGAACACCATGTCTAATCAGAAAAGGAAGAGAAAGTCAAATGTGTCCCACTTGTTATGAGGGTTTGGCTGTTTCTAACTATATTCTTCTGTAGATAAAAACAAAAGCAACTAGAGGCATTTGGTGGCCATTAAGGAGTGTTTCCACCCACAAAGGTGAAACAGGTGAACAAGTGTACATACACACACACACACACACACACCTGCAGTGCCTGTAATTAGAGACTTTGGTTTCCTGACTCAACCCTTCTAGAGTATTATACATTTTAAAAACTATTCACTGCAAAATCTCCTGTTCATTAAACCCAGGACAAGTCTCTAGATTTCCTATTAGGCATGTTCAGTTTTAGTAGGCTTAAATCCCATTGCTTAAGATGGTTTATTTTTGTTGTTTACTTAACATACATATTTGTGTCTGTTTTCTAGGTTTGGCCTATGCTTTGCTGGCGGCTGTTCCCCCAGTATTTGGCCTATATTCTTCATTTTATCCTGTTTTTCTATATACTTTTTTTGGAACCTCCAGGCACATATCAATAGGTATATCTGTATGGATATCTGAAAGTCTGTCTGTATGTGTGTGTGTGTTTAATAAAGCTATAAAAAAAAAACTGGATAAATAGAAAGTGTAGTTGTTTTCCATAAATTCAAATTTAAGTGCATAGGAGAAACAGAAATGTTTGGAACGTAACCAGTACTTTTTATTGTTAGTCTATCCATTTTACTTAGAAAGCAGTAGAAGAGCATCTTGTATCAGATGAGATCTAGAAATGTGTGCTGCAAACTCCTGAACTGTGATTTCATTGCTGCAGTCGGCTGTCTGTGTGGCCAGGATGAATTTTCAATTTGCAAAATAGGAACTGAGATAGAAAAAAAATGATGGTGTTTACCTACTGCAGAGGTGTATGTTCACCATCTAAGTGCTTTAATAGTACTGAGTACTGGAGCAGATTTGGGAACTAAAAATACATTATTAAGGTAGAAAACTCTTATTTTAGTTTAATTCTACGTATTTCAATAAGAACCACTCCTAAAAAAAATCTTGCCAGGATTTTAAGCAATTACTTTCCTTCTTATTTCAGGCACTTTTGCTGTGGTTAGTATGATGATTGGTGGCGTTGCTGTGAGAGAAGTGCCTGATGAAATTATTTCTCTGGAGTCTAATTCTACTAATATTACAGATGTCCTTGAATATTACAGTGCTAGGGATACCAAGAGGGTGCAGGTAGCTGTGGCTCTTGCCTTTCTTTCAGGACTTATCCAGGTATGTGCTCACAGTTTGCTGTAAGGGCAGCTGCTGCTGCTGGCCTTGCAGGGGGTGCTGGATCATGGTAGATCCCCTGTAACCAGACTTGTGCTTCTGCACTGCTCCATGTAGGACACAGACTGCTGTATGGCAGCCCCCTAACTGGGGATGGATGCATTGGAGGCAGGGCTTCATCTGGCATCTTAGCTGGACTGGGAAAAAAAGGGATCTTCCCCCTTTTCATTTTTTCCTATCCCATCAGAAAAACTCAACTGTTGTTCTCTAATCCATCCATAAATGCATACAAACAATGCATACATACATACCCATATCTCACACTGGACCTGCCAGTGGCAGGGAAGATTGAGTGCACTGATGGCTGCTTACTGAACTGTGGCTTTAGAAAAGCCAAGCTCAGGATTGTCTGGTCTGGCTTGGGCATTGAGAAAAGGAGAGAGGGGTGTGCTATATCCAGACTATAGTGGAAGTCAAATGCTTGACACTTCTCTTTTTCATTAGTTGTGTTTAGGTTTCCTTCGATTTGGATTTGTGGCCATCTATCTAACAGAGCCTCTGGTGCGAGGATTTACCACTGCAGCTGCAGTTCATGTCTTTGTTTCCCAATTAAAGTATCTCCTTGGCATCCAGACCAGCCGGTACAGTGGACCCCTGTCACTTGTATATGTGAGTAACTACACCTACTAAACATGCAAATTGTGTGTGTCTAGATCTAGTTCCTAAGCTTTTTCCTGGTTTTATGTATTATTTAGTACTAAGCAGAATAATCTTCAGTATTGAACACTGGGTATGGGGGTCTTTAAATGCCATAGCAATATATGAATATCTGAAAGTGAAGCCCAAGTGGAACTTGATAGATCCACACAGTCTGAGATGGGCAGATTCTGGTAGTTTTGTAAAATGAACAGATATTGTTCATTGAAGCAAATCTCTTGTGCTTTAGGGGAAAACGTGCTCCTGAAATGTTTCACTGTAAATTAGACATGTTCAGCAAAGCTAGGACATGTTACTCAGAATCTTTGCACTCTTAAGTGGAAGAAAAGGGAAGAGCTCAGATGTCTGTGAAAACCTAAGCTTTTGAGCAGATTGATGGCTCAGCAATCATGAAGATTCAGGATTTCATCTACATGTAGGCTATAGAAAATACGTTGTGGGAATCTTCTTGTATGTTTGTTTAGATATAACAAACCTTTTGCAAACAAGTCTGCATTAATGATTAATTCCAAAATTTGCTGTTCAGTTCACTAAACTGGGAGCCAGTCATACCAATTGCCAAACAAATAGAAGGGAAGATATAAATTCAAGATGCATACTACCAGGATATCTTGAATGTATAACATCCTGACAGTTGTTGCAGTTTTCAATCTGCATAAGGAAGAGTATGTTTGTCTTCTTTCAAAGGCCTCTCCAGAGGTTATTTATTTATTTTAATGCAGTGGAAGAAGGAGGAATAATCAGTATGGGGAATTATTTACCCTCTGGTAACTTGTGTATTCCAGCAGGTCTTTTTTTTCTAATACCCTTTTAGTAAGCATTTTCAATTAAAAGGTATTTGGTTCAGCAGCCTTGCAGGATCATTGTTATTTAACCATATTGTTATGGCAACCTCAATAATTCTATCGGCAGCTTTATTGTTTTAGAATAGTTTGTTCAGTTCTAAGTAAATGTGACTTGCCAAAGAATATTTGAAGGTATTAGAGGGAATTTGCATTTATTGCTTTCAGGTAGCTGCCACTGAGGAATATGTGTGAAAATGTTGAAAGACATGGTTTAGTTTAAGCTTTTTATCCCATCAAAGTTTTTTCTCCAAATTTTTGCCCCCTTTAAGGAACACTGATATTGTAAATGATTCAAGTGCATTTCTCTCACTGGGATACTCAAGTCTTCTGTGTTTTGTAGGAACAATGGGTATTTTGGTGAGGCCCTCGTTCACTGTGGTTATAAATTTAGAATGAAACCACAGCTGAAAAGCAATGTCTAATTTGCTCTTTTGTGGCAAATCTCCATGAAGATTCTATTTTCTTAAGAATAATTATGATGCTTCTGATATTACAGACCCTAGCTTCCGTGTTTTCAAAAATAACAACCACCAATATTGCTGCATTGATTGTTGGATTAACGTGCATTATTCTGTTGCTGATTGGCAAGACAATCAATCGCCGTTTTAAGAAGAAGCTCCCAGTTCCTATTCCTATGGAGATCATTGTGGTAAGCCAGCTGGGAAATTCTGTGGCTAAATTATATAGCTATTCTAAAGCTGTAGAAACTATCTCCTTTTCTCTCTTATCTTACTGAGTTTGAGAGTGACTTTCATTGGACATAATTCATTTGAGCCTTAATCCAATTGAAGGTTTGGATTCTCTTAAAATTAAGAACTGGAATGCCCATATGGAGAGCATAAAGTCACAAAGAACAATTGAAAAACAATTAAAACATCTCCAGTCCCCTATAGCAATGTGTAGATATATATGTGTTGTAAAACCCTCTCTATCCAGGAGTTTGGGCATCTGACTGATTTTCTGCAAGACAATGCAGAGTGTCTTGGGTGCATTTCCCACTTGGAGTCCAAGAGCTCAGAACCCTTTCCTGAAGGAAGGTGCTTACAGATGCCTGTTCAGAGGTTCTGCAGGGCTTGCTCACTTTTTGAAATGCAGTAGCAGAAAGAGCAGGAATAATCAGGACTAAATATGTCTTCCTTTCTCTGAGACTGATAACTGGCTGCAGCACTGATTCTGTTTCAAACAACTAGTCTAAAATACCTGTATAAAACAGACTATCATAATACATACAAAGCCTACAGCTTAGGCAACATTTTGCCTTTAAAAGTGATTTGATTTAAGAATGAGTTCTTGAATTACCACAGCTCTCAAAAAACCTGCACATAATGGAGTCAATAAAGGGAATAATTGAAGCTATGGGCACAATCTAGATAGAAGGAAGAAAGAAAAGGGATGCTGGTGAGAGATGGAGAGGGTATAATAGAGTATTTTTTGATAGGCAATAGCAAAACAGTGTTCCTTTCTTTGCTGTTGCATCAGTTCTCTTTACAGGTAACAGGCTATGCACATGCAAATAAGCCAGTGCACACAGGCAGGAGTGTCTTTGCATTTAATTTTTCCAATACACTATTTTGCCTGAGCTTGGCTTAGGTAAAGGGAATTTGAGTGATTCATATCATACCATACAGCATGTTCCACTTAAATGTTTACAAAAAAACTATAAAATCAGGATGAGTTGGACATGATGAATGGAAAGTCAGGATGCTTTCTCCTTTTTGTCTGCTTTTTTTAGGCCCTAACTCACAGAAAACTGATTGATAAATAAATGTAACCCCTTGTATGTATTAATCATAGTCAGCTAACCTTTATATCTCTTCAGGTGGCTTTATCTCTTTTTAGATAATGTTTACAAATGTGTTTGTGGATTTTTAGGTCATTATTGGCACAGCAGTTTCAGCTGGAATGAATCTGAATGAGTCATACAAAGTGAATGTTGTTGGGAATATTCCTCAAGGGTAGGGATGATATATTCTTATTAAGACTTTGCCTTTTCTATATTCCATATGGTTCTTTTCATATTAATTTATAAATATTAATTTCATCTCCAAGGTTACGTGCACCAGCAGTTCCTGAGGTTCAGCTAATCCCAGCAATACTTGGGGATGCAGTAGCAATAGCAATAGTTGGATTTTCAATGGCTGTATCAATGGCCAAGATCTTTGCCCTTAAACATGGATACACCATCGATGGGAATCAGGTAAAAAATTCTCAGTAGCACCTTTGTTACATTGTTGAAGGAGAGTGTGATACTGGCAAAATTGAGGTTTTTTCAATAGTGGAATCAGGCCAGATTTTTGACAGCCTACACATTTAAAGGTCAGGAATTAGTTTAAGTTCTTCTGGCTGTGTTTAAATAACAAATTTCACTTTTAGCTTAATTTTGGGAAACCTGCTTCTGCTATACTTGGATATGCACATTAATTTTATTTTTTGGGACAGACATTACTTGGCCATACTGTCCTGACGAGCAATTACATTTTCTCTGCTTTCTGTAATAGAGCAAAGCATAGAGGTCCCATGTGATAAATACAGTACCTTATGTGTCAAAGAATTCTTGTCTAGAGTTTAAAAATTCCATTTATGTTTTATAGTTTCTTTTTATTCCTGCCCATTGCAAATGGGCAACTTGTCATTTTCTGGGACAGCAATTGGCCCTGTCTGTACTTAGCGTTCTGAGCATGATTTGAGTGATAAGGACTGTATTTAGGACTCCCTAAAATGAAAATTATATGTCCTTCTCACCTACTCGCGCCTTCCTGTACAATTTAGAATCAATACTTCAACTGGATTATTAGTCAATATCATTGTGGTGTCAAGGGAGACAGAGTTCCTGTGCTGTAACACATCTCCTAGAGCGCACATATGACACAGCACAGATCAGCTGTTCCCCCCCTTATCAAAATGATTGCCTTTTTCTGAGAGTAAACGAAGTTTACCTACAGAGTTTTACATCTGGTCAGGTGAATCTCATCCTTCATGTCATTGTGCTCTGTTACCCGAAGACAGAAGAGGACAAATCTGTAGTGCGTTAATTTAATTGGCTCTATTTACCTTAAACATAATCATCTCTGACCCTAGTTAAGCATCTAAGTTTTTTCCTCAGGAGATGCCAGATGCTAGTTAACCTGAGTGTTAAACTGTAAAAGTCCTTGACACAGTAGCAATGCATCCAAGTGTTTAAAGAATCCAAAACGGATTGTACAAACTCAAAGAAAAACTCATTGAGAACTATTGGAAATGTATGACAAATCACTCACTTACAAATAGCAGGATGCAGAGTAGTCTGGGGAAGCTTCATTACAAGCAAATAATTTCTTAGGCATCAGAAATGCAGTACTGAGGTAGATGGAGCCCTGACCTCACTCATGGGAGCAGTTCTCATGTGGGATCTTCCTGAGGAAGCAGTGGACACTCATTGCTTCTTTCATGTACAGCAATGGATTACCACTCATGGAAACACAGACAGGGCTGCTCATGGTTTTAAACACATAGGGTGGGGAGCAAAGAATATTTGCATAAAAAAAAATTTTTTTATGTATCTTCAGGGTTAAAATTCAAATTATCCCCAAGGTGAAGAAATCCTTAAAACAAACAGTGCTGTCATTTTAGTTTTCAGTGTAACATTTAGGGATAGGAAATGTCTCCAGCATTTCTTTAGAGACTTTATTTAACAAATGACTTAACATGCATCAGCTTGTGCATGTGTGAGAAGTGCAAGTATAAGCTATAATGAGGTTGCTTATTATCTACAATGAAGTTGCTGGAAAGCACTGTAAATAAGATGTGGTTGTTAATGTCTGTGGATGGTTCCAGCTTGGTACCATTGCTAGATATAATTGCCTTTGGCTTTTTTCTGTTCTACTGTTTAACACAGGAACTTATTGCCTTGGGAATATGCAACTCTGTGGGGTCATTTTTCCAAACCTTTCCAATCACGTGCTCAATGTCTCGGAGTCTTGTCCAGGAGAGCACTGGTGGAAAAACTCAGGTATGTAGAATACCCAAATCCTGAGCCAAATCAAGTTTACTCTTTGGAGCTCCAAAAGTGAAGTCTTAAGCTTATCTAGATGGCTATATTTCTCTGCCTGGGCCAGAAGAAATAATGAGTTTCCTATGTTTCAAATCCAGACTGGGTCAGGATAGAAAGCAGCATGATAGGCAAAATGGGTGAACTGAATGGAAAGAATCAAAAGTCATTTGAACAACCAGCCTTGTTGAAAGCACAAGGGATTAGCTAATCAGTAATATTTCCCCTTGGGGACACTTAGAAATAATCTCTGGCTTTTTTCCTTCAGATTGCAGGTGCACTCTCTGCAATTATGGTTCTGTTGGTAATTGTGGCTATTGGATACCTTTTTGAACCACTTCCTCAGGTAAGGGAGTTTTGCATATTAGGCATTGCATTGACTATGAGCAGAGGCCCGGGAGTATTGCTGAGATTGTGGAAGGGTTAGTAAACAACAGTTAGATTTTGATCTGGAAACCTTTAAATTCTGTATGCATTTTTGCTGTAAATTAGCCTAGAAATAAATAATGTTTTGAATGATCCAGAATGCTTTTTGTTGTTGTTTTTAGTATTGGATATCCTGGACTCTGTCTTTAGAACATAAGAATACCTTCAAGCAATTCCCCTTTAGAACTGTTTAGGTTGGAAAAGACCTTTAAGATCATTGAGTCCAGCTGTTAACTCAGCACTGCCAAGCCCACCATTGAATTATGTACCTCAGTGCCACATCTACTCACTTTAAATATCTCCAGGGATGGTGACTCAGCTGCTTCCTCGGTAGTCTGTTCCAATTCTTGACAAACTTTTCCATGAAGAAACTTTTCCCGTATCCAATCTAAACCTCCTTGGCACAACCTGAGGCGATTTCCTCTCATTCTGTCACTTTTTACTTCTGAGAAGAGTCCAGTTCCCACCTGGCCATGACCTCCTCTCAGGCAGCTGTAGAGAGTGCTATGGTCTCCTCTGAGCCTCCTTTTCTCCAGGCTGAACACCCTCAGCTGCTCCTCGTCAGACCTGTGCTCCAGACCCTTCCCCCGCTCCATTGCCCTTCTCTGGACACTCTCCAGCACCTCAATGTCCCTCTTGTAGTGAGGGACCCAAAACTGAACACAGGGTTTGAGGTGTGGCCTCACCAGTGCTGAGTACAGGGGGGACAATCACTGCGCTGGTCCTGCTGGCCACATTTGATTGGAGCATAGGAATTCAGGGTTGAGGTTAAAAAGTTAGTCACATCTTGGCTAGTAGAAGGCTGAGGCTGGATAATGGCTCAGCATAATGAGTTGGGTTTGCTGCAGTTTATACTTATTTGTATAAAAATATATTTATGTGAATAAGTATATTTCTGATTTTTAAAAAGAATCTGTTTCTGGTGATGTGCAAAGGATACAAAATTTCTGTTTCTTGTTATAGCAGTTGGACCTTGGGTTACAACTATATGATTGTTGCAGGAATTGTTTCAGTATGTTGTAGAGAAATATGAATTTGTGATTATAGTCTACTGCTTCAGGCACTGTAAGTGTAGCAGCATGAAGTGTAGGACCATGTGATTCCTCTTGCTAGGAAGGAGTAAATCAAACTGAACTGAACTGGTTTGCCATTTCTGCAGCTGCAGTAAAAGCACGTGTCCACTGAAATACCTGAGAAGTTGTGGGTTTTTAAATAGAGCATCTCTTCAGTGGACTTATATCAGTTAGAAAGCACAGAAGTAGTTATTTGTGATTCTTTAAAGTTCTTACTTGACGTTGGGTTTATTTTATTTCTAAAAATTGCATTTTTGTAATGTTCTTAGACAGTGCTAGCTGGAATTGTCATGGTGAACCTAAAGGGAATGCTTAAACAGTTTAGAGATATCATGCGCTTCTGGAGAACCAGTAAGATCGAGCTGGTGAGTATTGCACAGCTCAGTGCATATATTTTACTATATTAAATTAGTTGCTATCCTCAAAACAGCATAGAAACTTACCACGAGTTACAAATTAGTGTTGTATTGCAGATGAACATAAGACAGGGAGCTGGAAGTACCCTGGGAGAGTGATCTGTTGGAGGCAAGAATATTTTTGTTGTTGCTCAACAATCTTGTAACTCAGGTCAGAAGTAGTTTGGTTGCAGTAAGAGCAAAGCTCTGGCAGTTTTGCTATAGGAACTGCCCTGAAGGCTGTGGGCATGTCTGAGAAGGATTTGAAAACAGAGTAACAAAGAAAACCACTTGAATGTATTTGCCATCTTTTAAGACAAACCAAAAACCTGGCTGGAGTAGGCCAGAACTAAGAGTGTATTGGAGGGAACATTTTGGTAGCATTTCTCTCCTGGGTGAACTGGCTGATGGAACTGAGTTAGAGCTACTTGCAAGCCTTGAATATTTTTTTTTATCCTAAGTTATTTGGAGTCTGATGGTTGAACAGAGTTCCTTGGAGAACAGGACTTAAGGCATTAATTAATATTGTGACAGTTAGTCAGATATTAGTTAGAGTGCCTGGAGCTTTTATGTCCTTCTGAAAGATTAAGGCAGTTCCCATCTGGCATCGTAATGGGTTACATTAGAGCCTATTCCTGATCAGAAGTGATACATAGATTTTGAGGTTGGGTTATGCTGTTGTTTTTGTGTTTAACAGGAAAGGATGCACAATAACTCAGACCTTTTCTTTGTTTTAGGCCATCTGGGTGGTAGCTTTTGTGGCTTCTCTTTTCCTGGGACTAGACTATGGTTTGCTTACTGCAGTAACATTTGCAATGATAACCGTTATTTACAGAACACAAAGGTCAGATTTCTTCTTTATCAAAATTAGTGTTTGCTGATCTTCTATTTGGTTTTGTTTGTTTAAGGGGTGCAAATAAACAGAAGTCCATTCCACCCTTTTCAACTGCACGCTGTATGGAATTTCCTTCCTAATATAGGTCATGCCCTTTGGCTCTGATCCAGGGTTCACGTTTTCTTTTTCTGAGAACAAAATTTTTAGAACTTGCACTCTCAGTAATAAACAGGAGATTTTTTATTTCTCATAGGGGTTAATCTTGTTTATTTTTTTAATGCTTATTGTTCAGAACTTTAAATCTTCTTGCTGCCATTTTCAGTACATGTTTATGTTTTGTGTGCACTAATTGTCATGGGCAAGCTGAAGTTGTGTCAGCTTAGGTATTTTAAAAATAAGTTCTAATTTGTTAAATACTGTGGCTGTTCTAGTTTTCTTGACACTTCTCCCCATTCAAAGTGACTAAGCTCTTATTGTGCAGCTTTCCAGGTCTACAGTGAAATGATTTCTTGCATGTGTGGATAGGACTGGCATGTGAGGCTTTCAGGCTCAAGGTCTGGGACAGGTGGAAACTGTGTACAAGTCTTGGTTCTGTCTGGATTGGAATTGTGCAAATTGTGAGATTTCCACTCTGCATAAATAAGAGTATTTTTCTGCCATCTCTATACAGTTTTATTCTTGCAAACAGAACAGTAATGTACTTTGCTGTCAGTTCTTGTGAGTTGAGAATATTAATCTGCTTAGGCATTGTCCTGAGAGCAGAGTGGCTCTTTGAAATTGCAGCATGTTTTCTGCCAGTACGAGTTTGTATATTTGCAAGACAGTCGATAGAGTTGCACCAATTGGTGCTGCAGAGAGTTTGCCCTGCACTTTTGCATGCTTCGACTCATGCTTTTCAGAAAATAACATTTCAGTGCTAAGCTTATAAATTGTTTTTGCACTGACAAAAAAGATATTGTGTTCTGCCATAAATTTCTTACTGGATTTAACCATGTTTAGATAATCCTCTACCAGACAGGCCCTGCAGAATGACCATTTAAAATCAGTTTCAGTCTGTGTTAAACACTCAGGTTTCCACTTTATAAGTGATAATACGGAAATATTTGTTTCCTTTCTCTCTAGCCCTGAATACAGAATCCTTGGTCAGATTCCTAACACTGACATCTACTGTGATGTGGAAGAGTATGAAGAGGTAGGAACATGTTCTTCTGCACTGAGTAGTTTAATTCAGTGGAGCAAAGACAGCTGTGGCAATTTGCTGCTTTGCCCTACCACGCTGCATACATGTGCAGGGCTGGCTGCTGAGCATTCACCTGTGTTGAAAGAAATAAATGTGGGTTTAGTAGCAAAAGTTGCTTTGTTCAAAATGTGAGTTCTTTGTACTGCATGTACATTTACCAGGCAGTGATCAAAAGTACTTTTATACTATTTCCATTGTCCAAGTATTTTGGAATACCACTGCTAAACCTGCTATGTACACAAGTGCATACCAGGCCACCTTCTTTATTTGTGTGGCAGAAGTGCATGGAATCCATGGAACCCACGATCCAAACTGGTATGTTCTTCAGAATTGCACAAACTGTTCAAAACAACATCCCACCCATCCCCTGCTCATTAAATATACGTGATTAATGGCACAATTGCTCACAATGCACTTAGCTTCTCATAAATGCCATTTTGTTCAACCAAAAGTTGATGAAAGCTTTATTGTCAGTGTGATGGATATAAACATGCTGTATTTATTCTCAAATAGCAGGTACAATTTTCTGCACTCTCCTATGTTCTCAGAGATGCTGCTATGAAAGTTACATCCTCCTTTACTGAGGAGCCAGTCTGTAAAAACCTATGGAAAAAGATAATGCAGTTCTGCTTTAAATATGATGCAAAGCAGGAATATGAGTGCACACATTGATATCTGTGTGCAAAGGAGAGGAGACTCCATTTCTGTTACACTGAATGCAGTCAGCATTTCCTCCTGGGTAAAGGTGGGGTTGGCAGCATATGGCAGGCTGGGTCTCTGCTGCTGGCCAGGTCATTTGCATGCAAAATGTCACAGTTCAGCCTGTTTAGAGATGACTGCATTTAAGGTGGGGGATAGAAGTGAATATCAAGACCTGTCTGAAGGTCTGGATAAAACCAAAGATTTGAAAGGCTGATTTTTTTGGTATCTGGGGAGTCAAGAAAAAAAAAGAGAAAAAGGGAAATAAGTTATTATGCCTGTAGAAAGGGAGGCTAAAAGCAAGCAATTCTAGGAGTGCATGATTTCCTCATGGTAATACCAGCTGCAAATAGCAACATCAGAGAACCAAATATTTAGGGTTTTTTTATGGTTGTACATTTTGGTGTAATATAGAAGGAGAAATGTTACCAAGCATTGATAGTGTGCAGTTTTACACTGGGAAAGGGGGAGGTTCTGATCTCTTGGTTGCCTTTGCTCACAACAGTGCCAACCTTCTTTATCTGGAACATGCTGAGAGCCACCCAGGGTTGGCAGTTAAACTGCTGCATGTTCATGTATCTTGTGATCACACAGAGGCTTTTATTATATTTAACTGTGCACATCCAATGTTTTCCTTAGGTTAAAGAATATCCTGGAATCAAAATATTTCAAGCTAATACATCTCTTTATTTTGCCAATAGTGAGTCATATACAAGTGCACTGAAGAAAAAGGTGAGTAAATTCTTTCATGTCTGTGTCCTGAAAATTCAAACTGGCTTCTGAAACATGCTCACCTTTCAGCTCCCTTAGTGTAGCCCAGTACAGTGTTTCTCAGCCCATGGCCCCTAATGATCTGTAAAATATGAGAAGGTGACCCTCCAGCCAGCTACAAATTATCTTAGGAAGCAACAATGTGGTGGGAGGGAATAAACAGACAGTGTAGCTTCATACTGACTGCTCGTGAATGGAAAGTGGTGGTCAAACCTTTTTTTTTTTCCAGCAGGAAACTAGTTGCTGAGCTGAAAACAAAACGGGAATAAAAGTTTTCTTGTTGGGTAACAAACTTTACTGAAGTGTAAGACTGTGGAATGCTGTGGCATTTAGCGCCTCTCATGGGCAACAGATGACATGCACACAGGGTGTGCCTCACTGCCTGTGTCACCCAGGCTTTCACTGGGTGCCAGTGGCAACAGCAGAACCACCTGACCCAGTGACAACTGTGCCTGTACTAACTTCTGAAAAATTTTTCTGTAGCTCCTGTGGCGAGTCTTATACAAAACAGGTGGGTGGTATTTGCCCTCACAAAGCAAGAGATCTTGGTGATTGTTGCCCAAATGCACTTCTCTCCCCTTTGCTCTCTGCACTCCAATCAGCGTTTGGTTGAAACACAACACTGTCTGATTTCAAGAAAACAATGTGATGGATCTTTCCCTCATCTTGTTAACACAGTGCTTGCCAAGATGATTTCTTCTTTACCCTGTTCTCAGCCTCACCAAGGGAAGCTAGAAAGTGCAGGCTTCTTGTTTAAATTTATGGCAGTGATTAATTCAGTGCAAATTGATAGTCCAGTGCCATCCTAACAAGCTGAATCTCCTCTGATCATACTTTCTTCTCCTAACAGACTGGAGTGGACCCTAGTGCCTTATTAGCAGCAAGGAGAAAAGCCCAGAAGCGCCATGCCAGGGAGATAAAGGCAGCAAATGAACACAGAAAGAAAGCTGTGCTGAAGCTCGTGAGCTCTCCGGTAAATATTTACCTCTGCTTTATCAGCTTACAGGCTGCTCTCAGGTGTTATAACTCTTGTGCTTTATACAACGTGTGCTGCTTAGGGAACAAGTGCTATGCAGTGGGGACAGGTTAGCTGAAGGAACAGTGTAAGGATCAGAGGCTCACTGCTATACTGGATAATTGTGTTGGACCTTGATTGCATTCAGGTAGCACAGAGTGGCACAGAAACTCTCCACACAGCCATGCTGTCTCACCAGTGGTGTTGGCAGAAATCAAAGGGACTCTGCCTCTACCCCTCCCTACACACTTGGAATAATAATGTAAAAATAAGATACAATAAAATTAATTCAAATTAGCAGCCCCTGTAACAAGAAGGCGCTGTCCCCTCTGCTAATCCTGGAATGGCCAAGATTGAGAAGGGTGATTTGGGACATGCTTGTACTTTTATGCATGTTTAAACTCACTGCCATGGTGGGAGATGGTGTGTGATTTTACCATGAGAAACCTAAAAAAGGCCTAACTTGAGAGCCCAGTTGCTGTTCTTTATTTTGAATATATAGGTCTTGATGGAATCAGCCAGGGATTGGAAATTGAGTAAAAATGTGTCAGTAAAGATGAACAGGGGTCAATGTTTGAAAGAAATGGGTAGTCAGTCCTGAGATAACAGCTTTAAGCTGCTCATGTGTGACTGTAGAAAGGCTGAGTGTAAGAGAACAAACCTTGATATACACAAGATATGGAAGCGAGTGTGCATGTCAAGCCAGTTTCTGTAGTGACCAGGAGCTGTACACCTTTTAAAGGCTTAAAGAACACACAAGTGAGGGGAGCAAAGGGATTTACATTGAAAAAGCATTGACTGCCTTTAAGCTTTATTCATCTTCTTTCCCAGACAAACGACGTAGAAGCAAGTGTAAAACATGAGATAGCAAGTGATGACTTACCTGTGAATGGAAAATTTGCAGATTCTAGTGTACAAGACATGTCTCCTGATGAGCATGAACATTTTGTGGAGCCCAAAACGAATATTCACTCTTTAATTCTGGATTTCACCCCAGTGAATTTTGTGGATTCAGTTGGAGCAAAAACACTAAAATCAGTAAGTAGGGTTTTTTTCCCCAGAAAAACCCACAGAAAACTTTTCAGATACCTAATAAGGAACCTGTCAGCATGAGACATAACTGTCTGCTCAAATAATCTCAATTATTGTCCAATATCTCACCTAATCATTGGTTTAATTCTTTTAGTTGAATACTGGGAAATGTGTACTCTGCAGCTTTCACAGTATTTGGCTTCCAGAACTGTGATGTGTATGATGATGTATTATCTGCATTTAACTTCAGCTTAACTCTGTTGTAGATTATAAAAAAATACAATGAAGTTGGTGTCTGTGTCTGCATTGCCAGCTGTAGTGGTGAGTTGAGATTTTTTTTTTTATGTGAGCTTTATGTGAGAGATTGTATTTTATCTCTTTCCCTCTGCTCCTGAATTTCCTGTTGCCAGTTGTGCCTGAGTAGTATCAGCACTTTACATGAAATTGGATTTGAGGAAAAGCAAGCCCATATGCCTTAATTTTAGTGAAAGTAGAGCACTGATGAAACCAGCTTTGTGAGATCTGGGTCCTGCTCCCATTTCTTCTAGCTGCAGGTTGTGAATGCTACACTAAACTTAGTATCTTGAAATAGTAGTGGTAATGTAATAAGGAAAAAGCCTGAAATGTTCCAATATATGATATTTGTGACTGTAGCATCTTCTGCCAAGAATAGGCCTCTGTCTGTGTCTGCACAAGAGAATTACCTGTTTAGAGTAGAAGTAGCACATGATGCACCTGGCTATTTCAAATTTTTCAGTAACAAGTAAGAGAACAAGTTCTCATCTTCTTCCTGGGATGCCATTGTCTTCCATCTTTGTATTTAAGTGTATGCACTGATGCCATGTTTGGGTTTTGTTTTGTAGACCCTGTGACAAATGAACTGACAAGACTGAATTTTTTTGATACAAGTGTAACAAGAGAGTTGCTGTTTCACAGTATCCACGATGCTGTTCTTGCTTGCCAAGTGAAAGATGGGTCTGCTGCACAGGCTGACTCCAACCTTTGAAGAGTGGCATCGAGCAGAATGGGAGCCAGATTTATGCTGATGGAGATTCTTTCTGAATATTTAATTTGCACAGTCTGAAGAGAGCCTGAAGCTGTTTGTATCTACGGGTATAGGGTGATGCTTATTTTATGTAGGAAGAGTGGATAAGGAAATGGAGGCCTTCATGCTCTTGAATTTTTTCCTTCAATCAGGATATAGCCTTCCAAAAACACACAAGCACAAAATTATGCAAGAAAAGAAAATTCAGTGTATTCTGCTGCAATCAGAATCTGGTGGACAAGGTGACATTCCTATTCCTGGTGAGAAAATGGGCACTTTAACTCACTACAAGTGGGATCTTGCAGGAGGTAACTGTTCTGCAAGTGCAATACACTGTACCAGTGTCTTTAAAGAACTATCTTAGGTGACTTTTAAAGCCTGATGTCAACATGTGCACACAAAACGTTTGTACAATGCATAATACTCTGCCAGCTGGATTAATGAATTCACACTGGTGGCATTTAGCTGCTGCTGTTTTTAAATTTAGACAGTACAGTTATGTTTTTAAAAATACCTAACCTGTCGCAGCTACACCCAATTCTTCATTTTTGCTCTAAGTGAACTTCAAGTCAGAAACTCATTGTTTAATTATTACATTATAAGTAGGGTACTTGCATTGCCAAAACTCAGGCTTTCTAGAAAAGAAAACAGCTGATTTTAAGCGAAACTTAATTTAGCTTCAAAGTTTGAAGACAAAACTGGTTTAAGACAGGAATGAAGCCTATTTAAGAACTGATGCCCTATATGCAGTCTCTTTAGGAAGGAAAATTTAAGCAAGGTCTAAAGTCTCAGTGGTCCAAAGGAAAAAAAAAAAGGTACTTTGCCCATCTTCCTCCAAGTAGTGCTGCTTCTGCCTCAGCTTTTAAGTGCTTTGAGAAATAGAGTTCAATAGAACTCAAAAATGGTACATGTTTGGGTTTTCTAAAGGAAACAGTAGCATGGGGTTTCTTTTTCTTTTGTCAGCCTGGCCACTGTGGTACTGCCTGACTTCAGGTGTGAGATGAAGACCATGGAACTCATGCAAAAGAAATCTTCAATGCCCCTGTTTCCCTCACAGCAGTCACTGTGAAGCTCAGCAGAGACAGGAACCTAAAAGTGTTTCTCTGTAGGTTGTTTTGACAGCACAGGGCAAGTAGGGCATCAGGGATGTTTGACTCAGCACCCTCAAATCATAGATCCTGTGCATAAGGAATTCAGACCTTCCTCACCTCTGGTCACAGAATGTAATACTCTTATTTTATTTCAGGCTCTGTTGCAGTTAGGGATTGCTTCAGGTAAAGTGTTTCCAGGAACCAGGGAAGTTGGGGAAGATACTTTATTTCCTCAAACTCCCATAGGGATGGGAAGCTTTCTGCATCAGAAATTGCTGCTTAGCTGGAGTTCAAAGGATGAAGTGCATGCATGTCAAGACATTGTGTGTGCTTATTTAAACAACTTTTGGTACATTTTATGATGTTCAACAAACCTTTGTATCTAGATACAGTATATTTTTCTACTTTCAGCTTGTGGCAGCTTCAGTTTTTAACTCTGTAGTCTCTTCAGTTCACATTGAAATCCTGTCAACTTCCAAAATAAAGTGGCATCACTTGTCAAAATTTTGCACTTTGTCTTGGTGAGACTCGGTATGAGGGACAAGCTGACAGCCCCAGATCCAAGTGTCTGATGCCAGGGGAGGGGCCAGGAGCGGTTTCCACCTCCAGGCAGTTCTTCCCTGCTGTGCTGGTTACTGTCACCCCCGTGAAGCCCTCTCCGAGCCAGACCTCACAGGGAAACAGCTAAAGCTGATCTCCCATCCTTGTAGAAACAGCTGCTTTTCCTGGGGAGCTGCTGAAATGCTTTGCCCAGGAAAGTCCCTCATCCCAGACCACGCAGAACAAGTGCTTCTGTGACCCCCCAGCAGTGCTGGTAACTCACCTCATAGAACAACATTTTCAGCTGCTTTTGCTCATCTCTTCCTGTGCTTTGCTGCCACCAGCTGAAGCACTGCTTCCTCCTGGCAGCCTGGCCCCATCCCTGGAAAGGGAAGCCACTTCCTCTTCCGTGCACTGATTAACAGACCACTATCTAAAAGTTAAATCCTATCTTAGGCTTCTCAGTGCCAGAATAAACAACCCGAGGTCCTTTAACCTTGTAACAGGGCTCCAATTTGTCTGCAGGGACAGGGGAGTGCCTCCCCCGTGCGCTGAAGCCCCACCACAGCAGGTGGTACTGAATGGCCTAAATATGGGTCAGTACCTTACAATAATCGGGGTCATGCTCCTTTCCCCTCCTTTTTTTTGCAAGAGCACTGATGATGTCAGGATACCTGGTAAGATCTAAATTGTTTCTCCATATTTCACTTACCCTTCTCAGTTAAAGGCTACACTTGATACAGTTTTACACAGTGCTGCTCCTGGTACATAGAGATGCTTTCAGTGATGTTTTCTGAAAATGAGAAACAGTCTGTCCTACCAATAAACTTGCATCCTTCCCTAAAATGTTCTTCCTGAAATGACACACGAGTACTGAGATTGCCCAAGTTTCCATATCAAGATATGACACGAGCCAGAATCCTAACCCAGGCCATGGCTACACACTCTCCCTATTGCACACATTTCCTCTTAAAAAAAAAAAAACAAAAGTGGCTTCATAATTTAAGCTTGATAAATTGATAGGTCTTATTTTGATACAACTGACAGTAAAACTTCTCCCACTTCCAAGACAAAGCAGTTCCCAAAAGCATTTTTCCCCTCGGTTATTTCTTTAAGTTCTTCCACCTCTTCCCCTGAAACCACTTTAATGCAACACTTGAAAGAAAAGGAAAATGGAAGGCTGTTGGGTTTTTTTTGAGCACATCTAGCTCTGCAGGAACATGTCAGATGAATGAGAATTAACCTTTCAAGGGTGCCTGTGGCCAACAACTCCCAGCCCCTGCTCAGCTATGGAGCACCAGGACTCTGCCAAGGTCATCCTGTGTGCAGCAGCATCTCAGACCAGTCATACAAGGGATCAAAGTGCTCTCTACCAGACTGATGTCAAATTTCACAGCAGGATCAGAGAAAAGGAATTTTCCATCCCTTAGCACTAAGAAATTACACCTTCCTCCTCCTTGACCCATTTACTATTTTGTAAGACACAAGAAAGAATCTCACAAAAAGGGATAGAAAAACCAAGTTGTGATGGTACCAGAGCATTCACCAAGAGAAGGAAAAAATGTCCTTTCATGCTTTCCCTAAGCTGGACAATGACTAAGACCGCCACACATGCCTTCCCACGGCAGCTCTGTTTTCTTGGGACACACAAGCATTTCTCAGCACACCCAGAAACACTGGAGTCACTCAAGGGTCTTCTAGCACCTCTATGGCTCAGACTGAAGGTTTTGGCGTGTAGATGGTGACCAGAGATCTAAACTTGGGACGTTGCCATTGCCCAGGTATCTGATTTTAAATTATCTGTGATTTAGCCTGTGCTGCTGTAACCTCACTGAGATCTTTTCCCTACGGCAGCAACAGTCCATTGGAGTAAAATACTCACAATGAACACTCACCTACTGTTTGGAACACTCCCTTTATTTCTAGATTCCAAAAACAAAACATGAATCACTACACTTGGATTTTTGTTCCAGAGCAAGTTTTGGGGGGAGAACAGGAAGAACGTTCCCAGGTGCTAGTTGTAGGTCATGTAGCGCGGGGTAGCGCTGAATTTCGCGTACGATTTGATGACTTTGTTCACCGCCTCCAGGAAATCCTTCTCGGTGGCGATCTTCCGGCGCGCTCGGATCGCGAACATTCCTGCCTCCGTGCAGACACTGCGGATCTCAGCGCCTGGGAGAGACAGGGATAAACAACACTGACTGCCAGGGGACACAGAGCACACACAGAGCTGTTTAAGTAAAGAAATAAATACGTGCAGCTCACCTGTGCTGTTAGGACACAGCCGAGCCAGCAGCTCAAATCTGATGTCCCTCTCCACACTCATCGAACGAGCGTGGATCTTGAAGATGTGAGTTCGCCCCTGAAGGAAAGGGAGGAGGAGAAGTGTTCATAGCATGAAAGGGGTGATGACTCCACCCTGCAGCTGTGTCCACCACACACGAAAACGGAAAATACATCTTGTATTTGCTGCCCAACTATGGTTTCCCAGGTCTGGACTGGAAAGTCTAAGTGCCCATGACAGTAAAGTAAGAAAATAACTTTAAAAAAGGTTTTCATCATAGAAGTACCTCAAGAAATGTCTCTCAAAAGAGCCAAACGAAACACATTCCAACTTCTGAACTAAATTGTGCATCTGGTTAAAGGATTTTTTCTCTGTTGAGGCAGGACCGTACAGTGATTACAGCTGCTTACCATGGCTTCTTGGCCAGGGTGGAATCTGTGCAGTGTGCGAAAACCTTTGGCACACCTGTAACCCTCCGTATTTCCATGTAGTTTCACATAATTTAAGAGTGATGCATTTGCTGATTCTCAAACTTCCAGACAATGATGCCCTAACTGAAGAAACATGCTACTATCAGAGCATACATGGCAGTGAAATAAAGAGTTCTCACCTCAAGATCAGGCAAGCTGAACTCAATCTTCCTATCCAGCCTGCCAGGCCTCATCAGTGCTGGGTCCAGAGTGTCAGGTCTGTTTGTGGCCATCAGCACTTTGATGTTGCCCCGGGGGTCAAACCCATCCAGCTGGTTGATGAGCTCCAGCATGGTGCGCTGTACCTCATTGTCACCCCCGGCCCCGTCATCAAAACGAGCACCTGGAGAGGAGACACACGAGTTTCACTGAGGGAGAGGCAGCTCCAGGCCATGGACACAGAGGTCTGACAGTGGCTGTAACACAGGACACCTGGGAAAATGATTTTAAAGTGCATACAAGTATTTGTGATGAGTTAAAAAGGTGTGACGAGTTAAAAAGGTCCTCAGTGTGAAAGAGCCTCTATCTCCCTACCTAACAACTGGCCAAGCTCCTGGAATTTACCCATGTAGTTTGTTTGTTTTGTCCTTCCCTCAACCAAAATCATCCTTCTCCCCTATCTGTAAAAACTATTCTACTTTCAAAGGACCTAAGCGCTTTCTTTTGAGAAAAACGAATAATGTTCAGGAAGTCATAAAGATGTGGCCTGTAGTCCAGAAGCTGAAGGGGGCTTAAGTACAGTACATTTTTGCAAACAAAATACAGAGATTCCTCGCTAAAGTTCGCATAATCTGGGTGTTCCAAATGTGCAAAAATGGCTTCCCATCTGAGCTGTATAAAACACTTCCTGACAGCTTCCTGGACACAGAGTATCCTGGGACTAGTTTTGCTCAGTATTTTCAAGCACTTTTCTTGAAATGCAGCAATCCAGATACAGAACTACAAGAAAAACCTGGAAGATCTCACAGGAAATTAGAACTGTAGCCACTACAAACATACCTCCAATGGCATCAATCTCATCAAAGAATATAAGACATGCTTTTTTAGTTCTGGCCATTTCAAAGAGTTCACGAACCATTCGAGCTCCCTGAAAGCAAAAAAATCAAGACTTTTTTAGAGGTTTGAGGCACATTAACAGAAAACTATCAAAATCAAACTTTGCAGGATTCCAAATATTTCTAAGTTTCCAATGAGAAAACTCGTTATTTGTTCACGTATATAATGGGACAAGTATAAAGCTTAAAGGAATTTATAAAAGAGAGAAAAATTACTGCTCTTAAACTCAGAAGTACAGACAAAGTAATTTACCTCAGGGCCAACTCAAAAATAAGTGGTAAAATCCCCTTCACCAGTGACAGCAAAGCTGAAGTCATGTCACCATTGCCTGACCTGAAGTGATTTGTCTGACAGCTCCTGCCCCCTGCACCTGAAACTTCCAAGAACATCCATCCCTCGCCCTCACTGTGGTGTCTGGTATCCACAAGGGAAATCTGCAAACCCCTCCACTCTCCATCAAGTACATGCTCTTACCTCTCCCACGTATTTCTGCACCAGCTCAGATCCAATCACTCTGATGAAGCAGGCATCAGTCCTGTTAGCCACAGCACGGGCACAGAGGGTTTTGCCTGTGCCAGGTGGCCCAAACAAAAGCACTCCTTTGGGAGGCTCAATTCCAAGGTTCACAAATCTTTCAGGCTGTAACAAAGAGAGCCAGAAGGCAAGGTTATGTCCAAATTAATGATTATGTGCATCGAAGCATATATGCAAATTAAGGAAATCATGAATGAAGAGCAATGTAAATTAAGCTGGGCTGGAATTCACTCGGTAAAACCTCACTTTCTTTCATTAACATGTTTACATTCAGTGACATTGTCTTTTCTTGCTTTTTCACATGCTAACAGATGACCAGAATATTTCCAAAATAATAGAAGCTTCAATCGGGAGATTACTTACGTGAAGCAGAGGGGTTTCAACCACCTCTCTCAGCTTTTCAATCTGCTCTTTACAGCCACCAACATCACTGTAAGTGACATCAGGTTTTTCTTCTACCTGCACAACAAAGAGGTGAGTGAGCAGTTACCAGCCTGGTGCTTCAAATCTCTACGGGCTTTCAATAGCCCACAACAAAATCCAGTGAAAGGAATCAGAATTACAAGACAAAGTCATGCCAAAGTAAGTAAAGGCAACTCTCACTTGCATCATGGTGACTGTGG